CTCATCACTCCATATACTAACCCTCTAACAGAAATACAATCAAAACAAACACAACAACAACAACAACAAAAAACACAGTGGGGCACTTCCTATATTACCACATGACATCACAAGGAGGAACAGAGTGTTTTCCTTTGGCTCGGGGTTCTGTCGTTGTGTCCTTAGGCAAGACATTTCATCCTCATTGCATACTATGAATGTGGTGTGTGCGTGTAGCGTAATATAAACCCACATTTACTGTATTGCACATTATAGGCAAAGCAATAACATGGCTGTGGAGTCAAGCCTCTCCTAGGAAAGTTACATAGTGCATCTTTACCATTCTGGGCCTGAGAATCCTTAGAATAGCTATTATATTGATATTTGTGGGTGTATTTGTGCTGCATGTGGGTTACTACTGCGAAGGGTGTGTGTTATTTTTGATTGATTGTGATTTTTGATGTAAAACTGATAATGTTTCTAAGGAGTTTTTGATCTTTGAACTTTTGGCATCTGTAGCATTTTTTAATTGCTGTACAAAACCTGTCAGAGGTGTTTTATACACATCCTGGTTCAGTGTTGTGAGTTGACTTCTGCAGCTAAGACCTCAAATCTGCACCAACATCATTTCTGGGTTTTCTCTGTCAGCAAAGGTAAGAATTGCTTTATCTGGCAACATATTAATGTAATGCAGTATGTTGTTTTTCATACTTTCATACACTGTAGTCTAAGGAAAATAATGCAACATATCACATTTTACATTTTTAGCAGATTCCATTAATGCTGAAAATGTGTGGTTTGAAATGTTACAGTTTACCAATTTGAAATGTATTGATGGCATTTGTCGAAATATGTTGTGATAATATAAAAGTAGTACCAAGGATGAAGGTTTTACTTTAGTGCAAGACCAACGCCAACAGTGACAGGTGCATTTTAATAACCATTGCCTTATAAGTATAATGTTCTATGTAATCATTTTGAATAGTCTTATTCTTATTGTTGAATACATTCTATACACTTTTTGAACATTTTAAAGATTTTGACCAAAAGTTCATATTCCAATAAATCTTTTGCAAAATTGTATAAAGAGTCTTTTATACACAAAATACACAAAATTGTAAATAAGTTAATAAATAAAAAACATCCTAATGCAGGGGTGTCAAACTCAAATTCACAGAGGGCCAAAATTAAAAACTGGGACTAAATATTTATTGAAAATTTTCAGCAACATTTGCATTTTTTCTCTTCTTTCAAGATATGTATTGTTAAACCTTTTCTTATTAAAATAAATGTTTAATAATAGTTTTACTTAAACATTGAATCCAGAACAAGCATAATATAAAATAATAACAACATTTTAAATATGTATTAGAGCCGGTAGGCCAGCTCTAATACATATTTGATATGATCTCGCAGGCCAAATATGATTATATTGCAAGCCAAATTTGGCCCCCAGGCCTGTTTGACATGTCTGTTCTATGTAATAATTTATTCTGTTTGCATATTCTTTTTCTTCAAAATTTGGTTTGGTGCATTTTAAAGATTTTGACCAAAAATTCATATTCCAATAAACCTTTTGCAAAATTTTATAAAGAATATTTTATACAGAATACACAAAAAAATATAAACACAATTTTAAATAGGTAAATAAATTAAAAAAACATTCTATTGGGTATGGAGTGAATGAACTTTGCTCTGTAAAGCGTCTTTGAGTGTCCAGAAAAGTGCATTATAAAAGTGATGCATTATTATTATTTTTAATTGATTATTTTTAATGATGCATCATATGATTTCTTGCAGAGAGTCCAATATCTTATTGTTATGCCTGAAATGTTCCATAGCATGTAGCCTATAGCAGTATAGCATTATACAGATCCATCTTGCATTTTTTCAATTACAGTCATTTGAGATATGAGAAATAAGGACAAAAGCACAACCAAGTTTTCAATTCAAACAATAATTTAAAAAAATGATGATTGAAATGTAATGCCTTTATTGCATTTCATTTCATTCATTTATGGACTTCACCCTCTCTACTGTTAATGATTCACAAACACTGTTATTACGACTCACTCCAAGTCGCTTATAGTGACAATAAAGTTTAATCACCCTTTACTCCATTTCACAGGATGCCATTCAGTTTCGCAGATCTGTGCTGCCCTATCAGCCGTGACATCTCCAAAGACAAGTCATTTTGAAAAGCAACCTCTCACAGACCTTATGCACGAGCACCGGTCTGGACTCTGCTCTGTGATGGAGGAACCCTGCCACCTTTATGCAGACCCTGTCCAGCCTTGTATTCTCCCCGAGCCCCTTCTGCGCCTCTATGACCCGCTGATGGTCGGCTGTGATCTGGCTGCCCTGCTTCATCACTGTGAGAGCCTAAAACGCTATGTCACCGTGTCAGACTCAGAGGCAGAGGCGCTTGAAAAAAAAACAAGACAGCAGAGTGAATGTGAATACTGGCGGGTAGCACGAGCAGGACGGATCACCGCGTCGAACATACATTCCGTAGTGTCCACCTCCTTAACCGAACCTGCTTTATCCACAGTGAAGAAGGTGTGCTATCCAGAAAAGCATCTACATCGATGGACTGGACCAGCGCCCATGAGGTGGGGTAGAAACAATGAAGAGAGGGCAAGGGACTGGTACACCTCCCAGAGCAAGCTGCAACACAGGGAGCTGAAAGTGGACAAATGCGGCTTCATCATCAACCCTTCATTCCCTGAGTTAGGAGCCACCCCTGATGCCCTGGTGAGCTGTGACTGCTGTGGAAATGGCTGCGTCGAAATCAAATGCCCCTTCAAGCACAGAGACCACACCCTCCTGCAGGCCTGTGCGGACAAACAGTTCTGTCTCCAGTTGACCGATGGGACTCTGAAGTTGAAGAGGACCCACGCGTACTACAAGCAGGTCCAAACGCAGATCTTCGTGACAAAAGCGAAGTTCTGTGACTTCGTTGTGTGGACGAGGAAAGCCCGTGTAGTTATACGTGTTATGCCTGATGTAGACATGTGGGAGGAACTTCTACCTGCAGCCAAGGATTTCTTTTACAAAATTGTTCTGCCAGAGCTTGTAGGACGTCATTACACGGGCTCTGTGCCCAGCGTGCCACAACTGGAGCCCTCAGCTGATTTTCGTCTCTCACGTAAAAGAAAAAAAAAACATGTTAAGCTTTCATTTTGGTAGCTGGTAGTCCTGGTTAAGAGTTATCTTGGACCTGGTTAAAGGTGCACAGTGTAACTTTTTGGTTGGGGTTCCGTCACCTGCTTGTTTCTATGGAGATCTCATTGCTCTACCTGGAATATTTCACAGTGTGACATTACACCGCTCTACCTTACATTTATTCAATTGCAGGTGGTTTTATAGGTCAACAATATCTAGCTAATACAGGCTTTTGTATGAGCAGGGTCACCTCGCCGCAGATCTGACCTGTAACTTGGTCTGGTTTGGTCTCCATGAAGATAGAAAGGTCTAATACCAAACTGTGAAACATTCCAGACAAAGAAATACAATCTCCATGAAGAAAAGCATTTGATGGACCCTTGGTAGTTGTTCAGATCCATTTTAGTCCACGTTCAGGGTCATTGTGGACCTGGTTGAAACATGTTTTAGTCCTGTTTCAGATTCATGTAAAAAGAGACTTCATTGTCGTATTTCTATTCGTATTTCTCTGGGCTCTTGTGCTTGAAGTTTAAGAGGGTTCCACCTCTTAAACTTCAACCAAACTCCTTTCATTTGTTTTTTTTAAGCACCTCATGTTTAAAAATTTTATGTAATTTGTTTAATAAATTTGTAACTCGCTTTGGTGGTTAATTTCCTGTGTCAATATTAATTAACAGTATTTATTATTGACATTTATTCACCAGTAATGCACCAATAAATTTTATGAATAAATATCCACACAGTTTCATTCTGGGTGCTTTATTTCCTTTTGCACAGAATATGAACAAACAGGGATTTCATAAGCATAGAGAGCCGTTCAAGTTTGGTAAATCAAGTCAAAAAGTTCTGGCATCTGTCGGGCAATTATTTTTATTTTTTTTAACACTGGCTCACTTATGAATGAATTACCTTTTAATGTTTATCCATATGCATTTGCACTAATAGTTAATAATTACAAGAGGTATTTGATCTTTGTACTTTGATAACACTTGGCACCTGCGACTGAGCCAAACCCATGACTCCATTTTACAATCACAGTTCATGTTAACAGCTGCACGAAAGCTGTCAGAGGAGTTTTATATTAATTCTGGTTATATCTATTACATTGACTTCTATAATTAAGGGCAGAAATCCACACAACCACCATTTGGGTTTTTTCTCTGTCAGCAAAGGTAAGAAGTGATGTATATGGCAGCATATTATATTTAGCAGAATGTTATTTTTCATCATTATATACCCTGTAGTCTAAAGAAAACAATGCAACAAGTTCAGATTATACATTATTAGAACATTAAAGTTATGATAAAAATATGTGGTATATTTGAAATGTTACAGCTTGCCAATTTGTAAGTTCATGATATGACAAGTTCATAATGAAGGAAGAACTTCTTGACTGTGTTATACTGCCTAATATGAAATTAGTACCAAGGATGAAGGTTATACAAAACACTTAAGTAACTGACCAATGTCAATAGTGACAGTTGCCTTTTGATAACTTTCACCTTATAATTTTTAGGTTCTAGCTGACATTTTTCCTTATACCCTTTATATCCCCTGTACGCTTTTTCACGACTTGATGTTAACCCTACATATGTAAAAACTTTACAGGACAGCTTTTTATTATTATTATTATTATTATTATTATTAGAAATATGGACAAAACCACAACTAGATTTTCAGTTCAAACAAAGATTTAATGAATGATGATTGAAATGTAATAACTTTATTTGGTATTTCATTTTTTTCATTTGTGACCTTCACACTCACTACTGTTAATGATTCACAACTACACTCCCTCAATCCAAGTATATTACAAGGAAAACAAAATGTAACCACTCCATTCTCCATTCCACAGAATGGCTACTAGATGCAAAGAAGATCTGTGCTGCACTATCTGCCATGACATCTACAAAGACCCTGTTATTTTGGACTGCAACCACAACTTCTGCAGAGCCTGTGTCGAGGACCAGTGGAGAAAAGAGCCTAGAACGTGCCCAGTATGTTTGAGGAGACAGTCTAGAGATCTACCTTCAGACATGGCCTTGAGGAACGCATGTGAGGTTTTCCTACGGCAGAGAGCAGAGCAAACAGTTTGTGAGCTTCACAAAGAGGATCTGAAACTCTTCTGCAAAGACCATCTGCAATTAATCTGTTTGATCTGCAGAGACTCAAAACAACACGTGGGGCATACGATCCGACCCATCAATGAGGAAGCTCCAGTTATCCGGGAAAAACTTCAAGATAAACTAAAGCCTCTGAAAGACAAGATTCAAGAATTGAGTAAAAGGAAACAGCATTTTATAGAAACCGTGTCTCATATCAAAACTCAGCGGTGTACAGCTGAAACTAGAATCGGTGAGCATTTTCAGAAGCTCCACCAGTTTCTTGAAAAGGAACAACAGAACAGAATCCAAGCTCTGATGGCAGAAGAGGAGAAGAAGATGAAGAGCCTGAAGGACAAGATGGCGGAGATGGACAGAGAGATACAAGCTCTGTCTGAGATCATTGCATCTGCAGAGAAGCAACTAGAAGCTTCAGATTCCTCAGTCCTGCTTGAATACAAGGTTACAGTGAAAAGACTGAAGCACTGCCCCCCTGTGGAGATGCCAGAGTTGGGCTTAGGAGCTTTGATAGACCAGGCCAAACATCTGGGTAACCTGGACTTCAACATCTGGAACAACATGAAGAACTTGGTGGAGTACTACCCTGTCATTCTGGATCCTAATACAGCCCATCCAGAACTAGCATTGTCTGAGGATTTAACAAGTGTAAAATGTGTAAATGAACAAAGAATTCCAGACATACCTGAACGTTTTACTTCTTATTTCCGTGTTCAGGGATCAGACGGGTATAGTTCCGGTAATCACAGCTGGGAGGTTGAGGTGTCCGGTAAAGAGAATTGGTCAGTAGGTGTGGTCAGTGAGTCTGTACAAAGAAAAGGCAAAATGGATGCCGGGAATTGGGGAATGTATTTTATAAACGGTAAATACAAAGTTGTCTCTCAACCAGAAACATTTAAGCTCTTGAATTTGACGAATCTAAGCAGAGTGAGACTGATCCTGGACTGTGACAAAGAAACACTTTCGTTTCATGACCCAGACACTTATTTGTGCTTATACAAGTTCACAAATGTCAAAAGTTTCTCTGAGAGGCTGTTCCCAAGCTTTCTGACCTATAACACCACCCCACTGAAGGTTTTGCCCTCGAGGCATTTTTAACTATTTCATCTACTGCTCTTTAACCAACAATATTTCAGAAAAATAAAGGCAGAAGATATTGGAAAAGTTGTGTGTATTTATATCTTTGAGTCTTGCTGTTTTATTGATGTATGTACTTCATTTGTAGTTTTGTATTCTCTATGTGAGTCCTTTTTTAATTGTTGTATTCACTGGAAGCCATTATTCATCTGTCAAGAGGAGAGGGGTGTGGTCTAGAGGACTAAAGGGGAGAGTGAGCAGGAGTGGGGCATGGAGGACTAAAGGGGAAAGTGAGGGGAGAGAAATTGTGGATCTGGAGGACTAAAGGGGAGAGTGAGGAGGGGTGTAAGAAGGAGCAGGGTCTGGAGTACTGAAAGGGAGAGTGAAGAGAGGTGTGGTCAGGAGGACTAAAGGGGAAAGTGAGCAGGACCAGGGTCTGGAGGACTAAAGGGGAAAGTGATCAGGATCAGGGTCAGGAGGACTAAAGGGGAAAGTGAGCAGGACCAGGGTCTGGAGGACTAAAGGGGAAAGTGATCAGGACCAGGGTCAGGAGGACTAAAGGGGGTCAGGGTCTGGAGGACTAAAGGGGAAAGTGAGCAGGACCAGGGTCTGGAGGACTAAAGGGGAAAGTGATCAGGACCAGGGTCAGGAGGACTAAAGGGGAAAGTGATCAGGACCAAGGACTAAAGGGAAAGGAGAGTGATCAGGACCAGGGTCTGGAGGACTAAAGGGGAAAGTGAGCAGGACCAGGGTCTGGAGGACTAAAGGGGAAAGTGATCAGGACCAGGGTCAGGAGGACTAAAGGGGAAAGTGAGCAGGACCAGGGTCAGGAGGACTAAAGGGGAAAGTGATCAGGACCAGGGTCAGGAGGACTAAAGGGGAGAGTGATCAGGACCAGGGTCAGGAGGACTAAAGGGGAGAGTGAGCAGGACCAGGGTCAGGAGGACTAAAGGGGAAAGTGAGCAGGACCAGGGTCAGGAGGACTAAAGGGGAGATTGATCAGGACCAGGGTCAGGAGGACTAAAGGGGAAAGTGATCAGGACCAGGGTCTGGAGGACTAAAGGGGAGAGTGATCAGGACCAGGGTCAGGAGGACTAAAGGGGAAAGTGAGCAGGACCAGGGTCTGGAGGACTAAAGGGGAAGTGATCAGGACCAGGGTCTGGAGGACTAAAGGGGAAAGTGATCAGGACCAGGGTCAGGAGGACTAAAGGGGAAAGTGATCAGGACCAGGGTCAGGAGGACTAAAGGGGAAAGTGATCAGGACCAGGGTCAGGAGGACTAAAGGGGAAAGTGATCAGGACCAGGGTCTGGAGGACTAAAGGGGAGAGTGAGGAGGAGCAGGGTCTGGAGGACTAAAGGGGACAGTGAAGAGAGCAAGTTCTGTAGGACTAAAGGGGATAGTGAGGGCGAGCAGGGTTTGGAGTACTAAAGAGGAGATTGAGGAGGAGCAAGGTCTGGAGGACTAAAGGGGAGAGTGAGGAGAGACGAGGTTTTGCAGGACTAAAATTGAGGCTGAGGGGGGCATTTTCTGGAGGACTAATGGGTAAAAACAAAATGTGAACACTCAAAACTCCACCTCTGCAGTGAGTTATCTTTAATGGACTCCACAATCTCAGCGGAAGCGTACAGTGGCAAAATACATTCTCCCTATTTTGACAGGTACTAAATGGGTTGTGACCTTTTGTGGTGATGATGCTGGATGATGCAGTGAGGTACTTAAACCAATTTACAGTTAAGTATTTTCATTTTGGGGGGATTTCAACAGCACCAGAAGCACCTTTACTGATCTGGCAAATGATATCAGCAACATTCCACTAAACGATGACATGGAAAAACAGTTTGGACCTTATTGTGTTCATCTTTCATTTCCGCTAAGACACAAACAGATATTACCATATAAAGCCCACTCAAATGCCCACACAAAAGATGTTCAACAGCCGGAAAATCTGCATGCACGCTGCGATATCTCACTCACCCAAATCCCACATAACAGAACTCTACATCTCTACAATCAAACCTGATGTACGCACTCACACATATTCAACATTCAATACTGTTCCAGTTAAAGGTTTAGACACACCTTTTTAGTTAGTTTTTTTTCTTTAAAGAGCCCATCAAAACCATTGTGATTGTGATTTGTTTCATTCGCACCATACAATATAAGACCTTTACATTTGGTTGTAGATTCTCATTGACAGCATCAAAACTATGAATGAGCTGATGTGGACTGTAGTAAACCAAAGAATGTGAAATAACATGTTTTAGATTTTAGATTCTTCAAAATAGCCACCTATTGCTTTGATCATTGCCTTCACACTTCAATAAGATGACCAAGGGTTTGAATGGTTGTCAACAAAGTAAAGGGTGGCTACTTTGAGGAATCTGAATTTAAAATATAAAACATATATGGAGTAACTTAATATTCCTTTGCTACACAAATCCATACATCTATCTTTATATTTTTGATGCTATCAGTGTCTAATTACAATGTAGAAATTGGTAAATATAAGGGGGAAAATGTAGAATGTAGGAATGGGACAAGATCTCACATGCGTTTACATTTGGACTGGACAAAAAGTGTAAATCTCTGGTGTGTTACATTTCTTGAGAAGCTGTAATGGCAAAATACATAGTGAACTGGATTGTTTACTGATTGTTTACTGATTACTTTATTCTAAATTATGTAAAAATGTCACTTTGTCTCCTGCACGTTGACCAAATCTCATATTGTTTTGTGTAAATTGTGTTTCGTCACCCATAGACTGTATATATAAATGGACATAACTAGCCCGTTAGCCGCCTCGTTCCAAATAGAAATTTTTTATTGAGCATGGCCGCACTTCCGGCTCCATCAACTCAAATTGACTTTAAATTGAAAAACGTTGCCCCTCTCTTTGTAACTGCTGCAGTGAGCTTCATCTTTTTGGTTTTAAAATATTTGTTTTAATCAGCTCAGCGTGATCCTAGTGTTTTTATTTTGCTATTTTGTCCATCAATACATTTTCGAACACTATGGGTAATGTCACACTCACTTAGTCCAGGTCTTTATACAGTCTATGGTCTCACCCCAATAGAATGAGTAGGTGTGTCCAAACTTTTAAAGGTGCATCATGTAACTTTTCTGGTGGAGGGTCCGTCAAATGCTTTTCTCCATGAAGATCCAAATCCACTTTCATTTCTACAGCACATTTTACAAACAAAGTAGTTTCCAAAGTGCTGCAGAGATCATAAAATGAAGACAACAAAAAGGTAAGTTGCTAAAATTGCTAAAAAGAGATGTTATTGCTTTGTTTGGAATGTTTCACAGTATGGCATTAAACCTTTCTGTCTTCTGGGCAGATCTGTGGAGAGGAAATTCCACTCACAGTCAAGAATACCTCTCTGTTTTTCTAGGTATTTTTGAGCTATAAAACCTCCTGCAACTGAAAAATAATGCAACTTTAACTGGTTGTGTATACCTTGTGTACTTCCAATTTTCCAAAATACAATTATAGCGTGATGCATTGACAAAAACAAGAGCAGGACCTACCTTGTAATTTTCTGCAGGAGCTCGAGATCACGTTGCCAGATCTGCGAGGATAAACAAGAATATGGGAAGTGTCATGGGTACAGAAGAGAAGCTGGTAATTTATCAAGAATGCAATTAATGTCCCGCGCCTTAAACGAGGAAGGACCGTCTCAGAGGATGAAATATGGTGTGATTGTGGAGGAGGGTGATGGGTGGATGGGGAAGTGAATATGCCAAATAAACTCAGGCGCTGTTTGTATGTCTGACATGAGCGATGGGAAAATAAGTGGGGAGCTGAAGGAAGGAAAAAAATGCATTTCAAAATAACAATGATACTTTTTATTCTTTTTTTAAGGCTAAGAATAAAACATGATCATCTTTTATTAACCACGTACCAACTTCAGTGTTCTGTGTCTATAGAAACCTGATACATACATAGGCAGTATTGCAATGCTTAAAACAGCATATCAAAGCTGAACAAAAAATACAAGTCTGTAATATTCATGATCATGTTCAACTTGGAATATGGATTTTCCTTTTGGATAATTATGAAAGTGTACAATATTGTAAGCTAGCAGAACTCTGATCATTTCAACACCCAAGAAAGATAGATAGATAGACAAACAGACAGACAAATAGATAGACAGGCGACAGACAGACAGACAGATAGAAGATGAGCTCCTCCAAAATCGAGGCCATGGTTCTTGACCGGAAAAATGTGGCTTGCCCTCTGCAGGTGGGTGGAGAGTCCCTGCCTCAAGTGGAGGAGTTCAAGTATCTCGGGGTCTTGTTCATGGGTGAGGGGAGGATGGGGCATGAGATTGACAGGTGCATTGGTGCAGCGTCTGCAGTGATGCGGTCGCTGTATCAGACCATTGTGGTGAAGAGGGAGCTGAGCCGAAAGGCCGAAGCTCTCAATTTACCGGTCAATCTACGTTCCTTCCCTCACCTATGGTCATGAGCTTTGGGTGATGACTGAAAGGACAAGATCACAGATACAAGTGGTCAAAATGAGTTTCCTCTGCCAGGTGGCTGGGTGCTCCCTTAGAAATAGGGTGAGGAGCTCAGTCACATGGGAGGAGCTCGGAGTAGAGCAGCTGCTACTTCATGTCCAGAGGAGCCAGCTGAGGTGGCTCGGGCATCTGTTCTGGATGCCTCCTGGGTTCTGGGAACTCCTTGGGAGTCTGGGAGTCCCTGCTTAGACTGCTGCCCCTGCACACCCGGCCCCGGATAAGCGGAAGAAAATGGATAGATAGATAAATAGACAGACAGACAGACATGATGGATAGATACTGTATTAATCCTGAAGTTCAGTTTTTCAGCAGTAATACACCTATTCAGTCAAACCAGCAGAGATACTGAGGGTGTTTGTCCACTGATGCAATGGTTGGCAGATCAAATCCCACTCTTGACATAAAATCCATTGACCGAGAGGTTGGCAGTGTGATTCCAGTTCCCACAGATGAATGCTGCCGTTGTTTACTTGGGCAAGACACTTAACCCCTAGTGTCTC